TATGTCTAGTCGTATCCGACTCTGGGGGGATGGTGCTTATCTCCATTTCTAAGCTGAAGAACCGGCATTGTCCATAGACGCCTCCAAGGTCATGACTGCATGGAGTGCCGTTACCTCCCCGCCTAGTAATCTACTCACATTTGAACTGCTAGGTTGGCAGAAGCTGGGGCTAACAACTGGATCCACTTTGCGGATTTGAGTCAGTCAGCAGGTTCTGCAGCTCAGTGGTTTAACCCTCTGTCCCACCATGCCCCCCCCCATTTAATCCATTTAAAATCAAAAGCAGCACAATAACTTATATGTTAATACACACAACATTGTACAATTGCTGGTAGACTTTTATATTCAAGACAGCTCTGGACTGGGAAAAGATATTAGATCCAAATAAATTGGCAATTAAATACAGATGATATTTTCCTAGTGATTATTTTAGAATAATAGCTCTGCTTATTGGTATGTGTTGGAGAGCTAATCATTCTATTCTGCTACAGAAGTCAGATAACATAGATTCTGTGGCATGAACAACAAAGAAAAAAAATGAAACAATATATCCCAGCTTGCCCCAGAACTATAGGAAATTTCTGCATTTCAGACCAGAAAGGATGGAGAATGTTTTCGGTGCCTTTTTAAAAAATGATTTATTAATTTATTTATTTACAGCATTTATAGCCCTGAATTCTCCATGCAGGAGATGCTAGGGCGTCTCCCAATTAGCTCAGCGTTTTTAGCAGCTATTCTAGCTGAATGCCGCCTGTGCTCTGTCTCCTTTCGTCTCTCTAGAAATGTGGGCACTTGCACAACCTCATCATCTGATTCTTCTTCTCCCTCCAATTCCTGAGCACTTCCCTGCTCTCCTTCCTCTTTCGAAGATGAAGAATCTCTAACAGGTGGACAGTAAGCTGGGCTGAAGGTGATTAACCAGTTGTGCTAAAACCTGGCCCTGAAATTCACACATTTTTTCCAACTCCAGGATAGAAAGAGCTTTCAATTTTTAAAAGGATTTAACACGGAAGAAATGAAATTGACAAATTCATTCACCCCAACCCAGAACTTCAAAATCCGGAATTGTATCCTTATGTGTTCCTCCATGCTAACGCTCAGTTAGATTTGCCATCTTTTTTCCCCTCTATAGTGAGGTCCTCACCCTTAATACATGTATGGCTGACGGATAAAAGGTGATTATATTCATACTGTGATTAGCTGTGCCTGTTGAGTTTGGCCACTGCATATAAAGAAGAAATTGTTTTCCATTCTGGTAGTTTTCAAAGAAGTAGCTGTGTTAGTCTCCTGCAGCATAAAAAGAAAGAAGGAAGGGGAGGGAGAGAAAAGGAATGTGGATATAAACTACTTTACTGGGTCTTTCTGGATCTTACTCCATTTCATCTCAGTCCTACAACTGTGTAAGTATTCTTTGTACCTGAACATTTCATTTTGTATTGCATCTGAAGAAGTGGGTTTATGTCCATGAAAAGTCAAGTGAAATTGAAAACCAGATAGTCTTTAAAGTGCTGCCACATTCCTTCTACATTTTATGTTGTTTTCTATTTGTTTTTGAATAATTTATCAAAATTGGCTTCTGTTCAGAAATTTTCATCAATACATGGAAACAAGGATGCCTGAATACGCAATCATAGCTCCTTCTCCTTCCTTGTTTATCTCCAGACACTTTGCTTGTGATTATCCGTCTTGAAGTGTGATTTTCCTTGTTTGGTGAAATAGTTTTAAAATTTGACATCCTGACATATTTTTTAATAAAATAACAATAAGCACTTAACACAAAGCCCCATTTTTAGAAACACCATTACTATACACGACTACCTTGACAGCAAAATCAATGAGTTCAGTAAAACTTACTCCACAGTAAATAAGAAAAATGTTACAACCCAAAATGTCAAACTTGTTTTTTTAAAAACCAGGTTTGGGGATATTAAACAGAAGAAAGAAAGAATATCAAAAATAAATGTATGTTAGTATGATTCTGAAAACTAAATGAGAGAGAGAGAGAGAACTTGCCAAAAGAACCATGAACAGGAAAAGAGAACAGCAAAAAAAAAAAAAAAAAAGCAAATCATCCCCTTTTGCATTTTTATTAGGAAAAAAGTCTTAATATGCTCAATTGAACTTATTCCCAAGTATATATGAGATTACAGCGGGAACAACTAATCCGTACTTTGGCATTATATGAACTTCATGAACTGTGTTCTCATATACAAGATCGATGACAAAATGTCAATAAAAGTTAGTTAATTGAACTAAAAATTATGCACACTTTCTAGGAAATATGTGCACATTTCTTAACATTCACAGCCTATTTTAAAACAGAAATGGAGGTGAGAAGATATATCTAAAGGGGAGTGTTCTTTATCACTGGGTATATAAATAGCTATAAAGTGATAATGTAAGTGAATGTCTCACGTCTTCTGCTGGCAAATGGAACTAATAAAAGTGGCAATACCAAGAGACTTCCATCTACAAATCAAATTCATTCCTCCCGCTTTCATAAACTCCTTGGCATTTAATCAGCAGTGAAGTGCTGTTTATTGGTTTAGCTTATATCACAGATGCCTTCAAGAACATCTCCTAAATAAGCTCAGAAGGAATGATATTGGAGAGTATTAAAATGACTTGCCTTACGTTGGTGGTAGATTTGGTGAGGGAGAAGTTCTCCTGAGAAAGATTAGGTATGAAGTACTTGAAGATTGTTGTTAATAGTTTTTAAGAATGTGCTCTTCACCCCATAGTGGTAGATCATACATCTTGAGACCACAATAGAGGCTAGTGAATTCATTGTTTTTAAGGTTGCTCCAATACTTTTTGTTCCATAGGGTGGGAAGATACATGATGCTCCTGCACTATCTCCATTCAAGATAAGGCATGTCAAAAGCCAACGAAAGCAGAAATCTTTCACGTACCTCTCCTTAGACGTCGTAGTTGTAAAAAAGTTATACAACAAATAACTAATGTGATATTATTTCATGACATTCCAGCTCTGTTGCCTAAGGACAATGCTTCACCCTTTTTAAAGACATGCCTGGTTGTGATGGTCCAAAGAGCAACTCCAGGACCTCACAAGGGGGTTTCACCAGCATGGTGGACATTTTAAATGTTTCTTTTTTTATATAACTGCTCCCTTTTCAATTTTGTGACCTTTTTGTAATAACATACAGCTAATTGGATACTGTTTTGGATTTTGGATGTTGCCATGAATCTAGAAGTTCTAAACATAATAATTGCCAATAGCCTTAGGTGTTTACTTTCCAAGTATTTTCCATAACCTCTCAAAGATTATTAGGGTCTGGCTGGATGCGTGCTAGGATAAAAAGGAAGGGAGGATAGGAAGGATAAGCTGGGAAACAAAGAAAGGAAGGGAGAGGCTCAGGATGTTTTCTGCCTAAGCAAAGGAAAAATGCCCTCTTCTCATCCTTCATACAGAATATATCTGCTGTTGTACCCACAACTTGCTTCAGCATTTCTGGTAGGATGGTATCCTTCAAAACACCCAAATTTAGGAGGCCCATAAAGGGTGTGTTTTGCTGTTTTCCAACAGAGAGCAACAGTCAATGTGTTCAGGAGAAACAGATGGTGTATGTACCTGCTGCCTGAGATAATTACTTCATAGGCTTTCTCAACCTTTTTATCGTGGAGGAACCCTTGAAATATTTTTCAGATCTTTTCATAAATATCATCACATCTACAGCTGTAATGGAAGAAAGATGGGGTATCCTATAAACAAATATATAAAATGTAAAAGTCTATTTTCCCCATAAATCACCATCTCTCATGAGAACTTTGTGGCCTCTTGTGGTACATTAGAGTTTCAGGGAACTATTATTGAGAAATCCTGATCTAATGATTGCTATGGCTCTGTCAAGACTTAGTAGCAAATTGATTAACCTCTACTGAATCTGATTTTTGTAGTTAAGAAAGCCCTCTAGCATAATGCATATAAATAAATTAAGCAACATTTCCATGGAATAAAAAGTCATGCATATTAAAAGTTTATTTTGATGCAGGGCTTCTTCTTTTTTACACACAGCAGCATCAATTTCAATGTTATGAATTTGCCTCCACTTATGTTTTCATTGCAAACAGTCACCAAATGTCCACTTACAGAAGAGTGTTCCTCTTTCTCTTATTATGTTCTACTCTCGAAGATTGTGTTCTGTTCCCATGGAGCAAATTCTAGGGGCCGCAATGGTGCAATGGGTTAAATCCTTTTGCTGCTGAACTGATGACCTGAAAGTTGGCAGTTCGAATTCATGGGACGGGTTGAACTCTCACTGTCAGCCCTAACTCCTGTTAACCTAGCAGTTAAAAACATGTAAATGTGAGTAGCTAAATAGGTACTGCTTGGGCAGGTGGTATATGCAATATAAATAAAATATATTATTATTATTATTATTATTATTATTATTATTATTATTATTACTACCCCGCCCTCATACTCTCTCAAAAAAATGCAAGCCGAGAGAGTGAATCCTTGAGGTGGTCCTAGAATGTGTATCACATGAGCAGACTAAGGAAGTATTAGAAGAAGTCGTTGAACCAATTGGTTTATAAGCAAAATATATGCTAGTTATACTGTTTCCATTTAATTCTATAACTGTTGAGTTACTTCTCTCCGTCTTCCTTTTCTTTGTTAATTTAAAATTGTTGTTTTAAGTACAGTGACATTTTTTCTTTATTAATTGCAGTAAATAGTTTTTAGTCTGCGTAAGAGACCAAGTGGGAAAAATGCTTGCCTGTGTGCTTTCCCTCTTGGTCTGGAAATCGGAAACCACTTGTCTTCATGTGCAGTGTTTCTCTCTTTATTCATTGTTGGCACCCTGCCTTCTCCTACACAAGGATCCTTCATCCCACTGTTTAGTAAACACTGTACCCAATTACAGTTCTCCGTAGTGCTTCTTACTATATGGCCAGAATGGCCAATAAAACAATGTGGCTTCTTTTTAAAAGTAATTCATACAAGTTCCTGGTGTTTGTTTCTTTTAATCTCCTAGACAGAATCATGAATAAACTGCAAGACAATCAGCAGCAGATGATACCATGAAGAGAAGCTTACAAGTCCTCTATTGCCAACTGCTTAGTAAGTAGACACATAAAAACACTTTGACTCTTTTGCCTACACCATGATAGAAGAAGTATGCATCTGTTGGGCTTTATCTCTACTGTTGTCACCTGAGAAAACATGCTACTCTTGGTTGATAGACTACAACCCTGATAAAAGGTTATGAAATCGACACACAGCAAAACTAAGATTTAAGTTATGATTTTCTGCAAAGTATGAGATGTAAATAAAACTGTAGTTCTGATGTTTCTATCCCAGATACAAAATAAATTTTAAATGATGAATAATATTCCTTTTACATTATTTTCCTACTGATATTTGTTTCTAGGAGTTCCACATAGTATTGTTCTCCCCACCCCATCCCCAGCATATCTCTTAGGGCTAAAGGTTAAAGGTTATTTTGGGACAAATTGCAAGTGATAGCAAATGTGTTGCCTGATTGATGGTGGGAGTGAAGCCATGATAGGCACCATTTCCATAGACAGTCTATCTTTTTCCCAGGGGTCCCTGCAGACCAGGAACCCAGCTCTGGGTCTCCATTAAGAACCAGTCTACTTGGTACTTATTGGCTAGTGGCTTCCCCCACCTTTGCAGAAATGACCCAGATCTCAGGTCTTCACTCCGCTCAGCAGGTTGAGAGCAAGTTCTTTCAGAATGTCCCACTCTCTCATCTTTGGGGATGAGTTGTTTTGCTATTTGTCACAACTGTGGAGGTGATTGGCATTGCTCATACATCCAGGATTGGGTAAACAGAACCAAATAAAATTGTGGCCTATTTCTTTCAATTTATTGAAATTTGTCTGGTATGTGGTTTACCATGCAAAACGGACCTTGTTCCTGCATACACAAATAACTGGATTGCTGCTATTTTATTGGATGCTCATGGTCTGACCCTCACATAAAGGAATATTCTAGTTATGTTGTTGTGTTCATAGCATCATAAGATATAACTGCCTCTGAAAACTGTACCTTCACATGTAATTCATCATCCGCCCTCTGCCCCACTACTTTATAGCTAATAGTGAATGTATTTTTGTGCAGGTGTTCAACTTTTCTCCATTCCTTGGTAGCCAGTGGTATAATGAAATTTGTTATGCTGGACATTTTGATGCAAGAGAGAGAACTAGATGTTCAATTCCTCTTTGCATTTGTGACAGAATACATATAGCAGCATATCTACATTTAATATGGCTCCTTTTATTCAATTTTGAGTCCTAAGTTCTCAGATAGAATCTGCATGCTTGAATAATTGTAATTATACATTGTAGCATTTTATTTTCCCAAGGTTTATAGATTTTGACATCCCAAAAAGCACCTAAAATCAGTCCAAACAGGACAGTCTTTTTAAAGTGCAAGGAAAACAAAAGGGGAACGGAACAGGAAACTAGAAAACTTGGACACTAGATTTTAATGTTATAAGGTTTTTTTAAATGATTGGCTCTGATGCAGCTGTAAACCATGATAAATCTTGAAATGTTGATTTCTTATCATGAAACTACAAATTGAGGATAAACATGAACTAATAGTCATATTGGAAAGTAGATTGTGTGTTAATCTATGAAGTTCATTTCTAGCCTATTTATGTAATTAGAATAAATTAAGTTTTAAAATCACATTAATAACACTGTTTCTGTACACTCACTGCCATGTAATAATTTAATGGAGTTTGAGCTAATGAAATTGATACTATACCATATGTCCTGAATCCCAGTGTTTGATATTGACTCAAGCTTTGGTGAAACTCCTGGTAATTCAGTCCTGCAGATCTTGGAAACTCATTCTGTGTGATGTGATTGCTCCTGTAAACATCCCTGGATCTAGAGAGAAAAAGAAAATAAAGGTTTGGAAGTGTTAAATAAAAGAGATGAAGAATCTAAAGATTATTGTAAAAAGAGAGAAATAAAACTGGAAGAACAGCTTGCTACTGGACTACTGGACTGTACTCCCACCGCTCCTACAATTTGAAGCCAGAGCATGTAAACAGCTCCTCAGAATCTAAGGCCAGTCTGAAGCAGAAATGCTGGTTTCATATTTTGTGACTCATACAGATGAATTTTGGGTGCATGCAGGTACAACACACACCATTGCAAGGAATAGAGTAAAGGTTTGCAATTTCCAGCCTTGTAGCCAAATATAACCCTGGACCTCACTTGAAAAACACTCAGCCTAACTGTGAAGGAGATCAATTTAGACCTCAGGCAGGAGAGTTCTGTTGCTCTCCCAATAATTTGTTTGGAGGACTAAGAAAAAGAGAGATAATGGAGATATCACATCCACATTTGCCTCTGGCTCTGTCTACCCTCTATTAGCTTCAACTCCCCTTACAGAGTAATCCAGGGTGCACAAAAATGGTCCCTCATTCCTGAAAAAGATGCACTTCTATTCATGTACTGCTTTGGTTTTTCAAGCTCTTGAGCCCACAGTTCACTTGCCTGGATGGACTGAATGAGGATATGGGTGGATACATATGCAGCCAGACAGGCAGAAGTTACAGAACTGTATGTATATTGAGCACTATAAGATTATGCTGTTTTGCTGCTTTGAAATAAACAGTAGCGTGACTTCTAAAAATGTTTTTTGGTGATATTTCTATAAATGCTTGTTTGTGCATGACTCCCACTGAGTTTAGTGAGTCTTACTTCTGAAACTGTGTGCTTACAATACCACTGTATAATGTGTTTTCATATTGTTCCAGATAAAGATGTAGGGATTCCACCCCCTCCCCAAATGAAGCCCAAATACCTTATATTTACTTTAAGAGGTGTGGTCGTGGTTAAGAAACCAGAAATTGAATTGGGCTCCTTGATTGGTATCTTGAAAACACTAAAGTTCCTCTGTTGATAAGTGCCAATTAAAGTGAACTTGTCTCTGCAGTTTATTGGTGAAGGCTTTCATGGCTGGAATCACTGGGTTGTTGTAAGTTTTTTGGGCTGTATGGCCATGTTCCAGAAACATGTTCTGGAACCGTTCCAGACTGCTAGGTTCCAGACTGCTAGGCCATTAAATGCTAGTCAAGATGGCCAATTGCAACATTTATACTTGCCTCAAACAGGCAAGAGTTCTTTCTCCCACCCTGGACGTTCCACAGATATAAAACTCAATTTTCCTGGTTTCCAACAGACCTCACAACCTGCCATAGATGCAGGCAAAACGTCAGGAGAGAATGCTTCTGGAACATGGCCATACAGCCCAAAAAACTTAAACCATCTCTGCAGTTTGCTTGCATTATAGTCCCCCTTTGTGGAGAGAAGGGTGGGGTAGAAATGTATGAAATAAATAAATAAATAAATAAATAAATAAATAAATAAATAAATAAATAAATGCAGTGGACTTTGGGAGGACATTTTTTTTAAAACAAAAAACCATCAAAATGTGGTTGTTTAAGTCCTGTGGCATGAGCCACAATAACCCAATATAGATGTTTACAGTGTTTCCTTTCTCTGTGGGTGTCTACTGGAACTAAATGTATAATAGTGAAAAGTTCAGAAAAAGCCCTATGAAGTGGCTGTGAAATTAAGCATTTTGTAAAAGGTCTCTGTGTGTAAAAGGTCAGTGTGTTTTTGGAGTTAGGTAGAAAGAGGATTGTATTGTTGCTCAATGTGCAGTAAAGCCAGATTAACACTATAATCTGATGCATGTCTATTCAGAAGTAAATCCCTAAGTGTTAATTAGACTTATTCCCTGATATAGGTTTGAAGCCCAAGTTCATCAACAGCCCAAGTTCATCAGACTTATATCCCAACAAAATCAGCAGGACAGGTTAGCCATTACTTTGAATGGGAACATATTATTCTTGTGAAAGTTACAGTATGGGCCTCGTGTCTTTTCACTGTAACAATGACCACATTGATTCAAATATTCTTAGAGATATAATGAATAAAGATGTGCACCCATCTGAGCACGAGATTTATTAACGAACATGTGCATTACACAGGACCTTTTGAAATGAAAAGAGTTGATTACCTTAATATCATACTTTTTGGACAACAGCAAGCATACATTATCTTAATGATATCTGAAGGTGGCATTCTGCCATCAATAATATATGCACTAGTCACACTGACGTCAGCAGAATTTATGAATCTGTTACTGTGCACAAAATTGAATAGAACATCTTCAGAGAAAAATGAAAAGTCAGCTGGATTTCTGGTATGGAATTATAACAATATCTTAACACTAATAAGGAGAATATATTCATGCAGAAGTCATCCACACAAACAGTTTTGATGTTGCGGCGGGGCGGGGAGGGGGGAGGGGGTGCAGTCCCAATAATATTTTCCAGACAGAAGAGATATCCTGTCTTATACAAGTTGCGTTTCACCCAATCATATAACTAACAATGTACAGTACAATGTTGCCCCAATACAATTAATATTTTCCACGTCGAACACAGCACCTCCAAGAGCAGATACACATTAAAATTAAGAGCATGGAATAAATCATTATGTATTGCCTCCAGTTAWTATTTTCATAAGCATTATATTTTCAACCAGAGAGCCATATGAGTAACCATATATATATATATATATATATATATATATATATATATATCAACCATTACCATACACATCCATTTCAAGTGTACCTAAGTTATCGCCTAGTCTCTGCATTGTATCACAAACTRTAAACAGAAGGAATTACGCCACATGCACTAACAAGGCTCTGTTAGAAAAATATTTAAAATTTGAGGTGCTTGTGTGTGTGCACTAAGGATCTAAGGATCCACTTATTTCATCCTAATACAGAAATGCAAATGTTGTCTCTCCATTGAGCGAGAATAGGAAAGTTTGAGGGTGTTTTTAGGACTTCTACAAGAAAAAAAATGTGCAAAAATGTTTATTTTGTGAAAAAAAGTTTGTGCAAACAATTTTTTTCATGAAAAGTCCTTAGATGTGAACTATCTCACAGCTTGCACACACCCTGCACATTGCCCATGTGTAATCGGCACAGGCAAGAAAACACATTCAAATTATATCACTGATCACCTCTTTTTTTTAAAAAAAACTGATTATAATGGC